ACGGTGTGAACGGCCACGAGATGAACGGCCACACCAACGGCGCGACCAATGGTCACACCAATGGAACTTCCAAGGAACCTTACCCATACGACACACCCGCAGAACCGGGTAATCCAACCGTGATGCCTCGCGAGCTGCAAGAACAGTTCCACTGGGCATTCCTAATCCGCGACCCGCACTACAGCGTTCCGTCGTACCTGCGGTGCACGATCCCACCTCTGGACGAGGTGACCGGGTTCCACAACTACGACCCGCTGGAGGCCGGGTACGACGAGCTGCGTCGGCACTTTGATTATCTGCGCGAGACTGGATTGGTCGGGCCCCGGGTTGCAACGCGCCCGGAGTTGAACGCCTCTTCCGGTGCTGAGGCGACGGCTGGCGTCGAGGTGTGTGTCATCGATGCGGATGATATGCTCGACGAGCCGGCGAAGACCATCGAGGCTTTCTGTAATAGTACTGGTCTGCAGTACCGACCGGAGATGCTGACGTGGGATACGGAGGAGGAACATGCTGTTGCTCGGAATGCGTTTGAGAAGTGGCGTGGATTCCATAATGATGCTATTGAGTCGAAGGCTCTGGTGCAGAGAGAACACGTAAGTTTCTATCATTCTTTGTTGTGGTGGAATGGGGATGTGCAGGGATTGGAGACTTGTGCTAACACTTTTCATAGAAACGTGCTGTCAAGACCGAGGAGCAGTTTGACGCCGAGTGGCAGAAGAAGTACGGTGAGAAGCAGGCTGCTCTCATCCGCCAGACAGTCGATGCCAACATGGCCGACTACCTGTACCTCAAGTCATTCGCCATGAAGGTTTAGAAAGGGAAACTGGAGAGTCGTTTGTAACGCACTGGCTCAGGAAATGGGCGGAATGAGAAAGGGAAAGAAGAAAGGGGCAGCCGAGGGGCAGCACCTACCCCATATTATTTCTTGTTGTCTTTGTGAGACATGAGAACTAATTAGTCCGGATGGCGCCATCTCCACGGGGATTGGTTGATGACCATGACGATCTTGCGTGTCTTCTTCTATTCTGTTCTTCTATCAATGTTATTGTTATTTGCTAGCTTATACGAATACAAAGTAGTAGCTATTATTCTATTCGGGATGTATGGTGATGTGTTATTAACCTGTTGATATTTACTTCCCTAGGAGGTTCCTTCCTATTTGGGCCATTGATAGACATCCTGACGTAGAGGCAGACCGCCAATCTGCCCCATCCACCGCCTTTTACTCTATTATCATCTCTGTTTCGATTGAACTGTACGGCGAGACTCTGAAAGACATTAAATAAAGCTTTCACACACGCCGAGAACGATAGAAAACAGGCAACGGTCTGACTGTCTTAACTTATAGTTACCATGAATCCGAAAGAGGCGGCCTATAGTAGTCTGAAATACTCCCTCAACCACATTATCCATGGTGTCTATGTAGTTTTAAAATGTGCTAAGAGTAGGCTCATCGTGAAGAAGCCAGTGGAAGGTTCTCATGATATTCAAGGAGGAAAACACACATTCTTGTTTCACCTAGTCTGTTAAAGGGCCGGATGTTTTCGAAACGTGATAAAGTATGTGGTAGGAAGTCACGCTCGGAAGAACTCCGGGTACTCCCCGTCCCTTTCTTTTGGCAGCTGTGGCTATCCATTATTACGGATACCTAAAGAAAGAGAGCGTTCTGAGCACTACGAGTACTCCTATGCCAAAATACAAGACTTGAGACAAAGGCCGGGTGACACCGTCTCTTTTAACAGGAATGCCGGACCCAACAAGAGCTACAATTAGGAGTCTAGCAGCAATTCCAACATCCACGTTAACAGAATCATAATATTTTCCCATGAATCAATATATCACTTTCAGTACAAATATAACTATGGTTTTCCTTCCCGAGGTCAAGTACCAAAATTTTTTAAATAAAAATCAAGCCAGCTGCATCCGAGGCATTGCTGCGCACATTCTATTTGTGAACCTTAGCGTTAGCCTTGAGAGCACTGTTCGGCACGTAGAGAGGCATCGAGTCCTCCCAGATAGAATCCGTAAGCACACGCTTATTCGAACCATCAGCATTCATAACGAGAACCTGACCATAAGGCTGGAAAGTCTGATCATAGAGAGCACACTCATACTGGAATCCGAACATGCCAGAAGAGTAAGCAATGCGGCCATCCCAAGTCCAGACGGCATGAGCATCATTGGCGCCACTGCTAGTGAGAACCTTGACATCAGTTCCATCAGGACGCATCGTGCAGACATCGTAGTTGTAGTCAGTGGTCTTGCGAGTGAAGACGATTCTCTTTCCGTCGGGAGAGAAGGAAGGTAGGTTATCCCACTCGTTGGTCAAGACGGAGGTCTTGCGAGTTTCCAGATCCAGAACACGAAGTCCGAGCTGGGATCTGTCGCCCAGAGTGGAGTTTGTTCCCCAAACACGGAAGACGATCTTCTTGCCGTCGTGTGAGAAACTAGGGAAGCCGGAGTTGATCACGCTGCTGTTGCTGCTGAGGGTTGTGGTACTCTCGCTCAGAACTTCGGAGTACGTGCCATTGGCAGTGGCTCGTACGAGCCAACCGCCGCCGGTTGCACGACCTTGGAACCAGAAGCCTACTCCGAAGGTGACCCAATTTCCATCGGGCGACCAGGACGGGTTGAAGGCGCCTGCGGTGCCCAGGGCGACTGAGCTTGCATCAATGAAGCTAGATTCCATGTCGTTGTAGATTAGGCCCTCGTTGGTTCCATTGGCGTTGAAGGAGACAACAGAAGAGTTTCCAAGCTGTTTCTCGGTTAGGGCGATTTTGTTGGTGTTGGACAACTGTGGGAAGACGTCCGTAAAGCGGTATTCCCACTCCGAGTCCCAGCTGTACAGCTTCTTGTCCATCGGACGGATAGTCCAGGCAGTCTTTTCGTAAACGACCTTCTTGCCGTCTGGAGACCAGGCAGGGGAGCGGATCACCTCGCTAGTGGTGTTTACATATCCGCCTGCAGTGGTGTGGAATCCTTCGATACCGGAACCCTTTCCGAAGTAGGCGACAGTGTTGTTAGGAAGGTATTGAGGGAAGATCTTCACGCCCGCCCCTTGGACTTCCACGCGGCGGTCAGCGCCTGTGGCAAACTTCACCGAGACAAGGGTAGAGTTGGCGGAGTCGAGTGACTCGGGACGGTGGGCGTTCCAGGTATTCTCACGAGTCATCTCGTAGAAGATAATACGCTCACCATTAGGCGACCACTTTGGTGATCCTAGACAATAACCAGACTTCGACGCGATGCGGCGGAAATCCGATCCATTGGGGCGGATAGCGTAGATGGACAGCTCCTGTGTATGTTCCCAGCCAGTCACACCTTGGAAGATCGGGTCTCCGTGTCCGTACCAGCCCGAGTTACGGTCCGACGAGAAAGCAATCCATTGGCCGTCGGGAGACCATGCAGGACGGAAGTATCCATTTGGAAGAGAATTGTTGGCGGCGGTCGAAGCGGTATCTGTGAGGTTCCATTTCTTGCCACTCTCCAGATCCATCACCCAGATGTTGGCCTTGTAGCCATTGGCAGTGGAAACATAAGCGATTTGCTTTCCATTCGGAGAAACAACAGCTGAGTCTTCCACCGAGGAGGTTGCTACCAACTCCTCGAGGCCAGACCCGTCTGTCCGAACACGATAGATATCCGAGTTACCGTCAGCGTTCCGTTCTCCGGTAAAGGTAATCCATTCTCCATCGGGGGAGAAGGTGGCGTGGTATTCGTAGATTGGGTTGGAGAGAAGAGGACGTTCCTCGGTGCCATCAACATTGGCAACATATAGTTCTGATGTCCCAGGAGCAATGCGGTTCATATAAAAGATGCCTTTCTTGTCGGACGGCGCCTTGCGTGGTGCATGCACATGCGGCGGAGTTGTGCTCTTCTTTTCAAGGTTCATCTGCTCTGCATATGGGCAAAGAGCCAAAGCCGACGGCAAGGCAAGGCCCAACAGGGCAACGGAAGCAGAAAAGCGCATTGTGAAAGGAACGAGTACTCCACAGCAGTTCAATTACCGGAGCCCATTATGTTCTGGCACTGCTTTACTTATACATAAAATGTCTGCAGGGGAAGAAAGGCTGAAGGACTGATCATTTCCATCCAGGGTCGTAGTGCATTTCTTTCCTCCGACAGGCCCACATTCGCGTAATGAAGTCTGCATTATTAGCGGGCCTTCATCTTATCTGATGAAGCAAGCTAACGACTGACCATTGAGAGGTCCTGCACAATATTGACACTTCATCTGATTGGTCGTATCGAGTCAGGTTGTGTCTTGCAAGACTGGAAACAAGGCAATGATCGTCATGGCTTGAGATAGATGGAGAAAGTCTCTTCCGCTGATTACCAGTAGCATTATTGTGGTACTTACTCCGTAGTTGTGACCTTGATATACCGTGTCTAGACAAGGGCCGTTTGTGTGACGCAGCTAGATGCACGTACAACAACATCGAGGAATGCTGTACGCAGAGCTGGTGCTGCAGTTCTCATGCACAACCGTCAATCCTGAAGATTTAAAATAGAGCTCGGAGCCAGAAACCGAATGCCAAGTAAATCGGCAGTGGAAATGCCTCTGGCCTTGCGCAATATCATGCTGACCCAGGTAACTGCGCTTATTTCGTTGGTCAATATAATCCACCAAAATTCCGACCTTGGAAGGTCGACGACCGAGGCAATTCCCCGACTTGGCAACTATTACCATTGGTTTCACACACGGCAAACTCGGCCCTTTTCTACATATTCAGCAGCGAAATCTTTAAATCCGTTGAATATACTCGGAGTCCGAGGGTCGGTCGGGGCTGCCGGATTAAGGGGGGTGAAGCGTCGATCAAGGGTGGAGCAGTATGTATGAAAGATATCTATGACTCCCAAGCAAAATGACAAAAACTCGCTGTTTTCTCGAAATTATACGGACAAGTTGACTAACCATCATATCTGCTTTTTAATATAGAGAACCTGGGTACACCATCGCAGCGGTCTGAGTAATTTCCAGGTTTCAATACTCTATATTTCTACTTTGTACCATGTATGACACCACAATATGCAGCGGAGAATTCATAGAACTCAACTATACCGGAGACACAACCGATAGTCACAGTTGTGACTGACAAGGCCAATGCATGTAGTCTGGCCAGTCGTTGTTCAGGGGGTAACCACAAGATTTTAGTTCCATCATATGTTATCCAGGACAGGTCTCCGCTGAGTCCAAACTATAGGGCTTTAGTATACATAGTTTGAGCCATTGGAGCTTGTCGAGGCACGTTTCAGAACCTCCACATCGAACATGCCAAGCCCAGTATGGAGTAAGTCTGAGCAGGTGCTGTCGAACTGAAGGAAGCTACGAGTTTCAATAGGGGAATTCAAGATACATTGGCCAGTGGTCGGATCTAATATATCGATTCTATAGTCCGGTACAGATGCGAGTCGGCCTCCATCGTAAGACCAGGAAACTGTAGAAGCTTTGTCGGTGTGCTCTTTGCAAATCGAGACCTCGCGACTAGTAGTTGAATTCCACACCTGGACGGCATAACCCCTTGATGACGACGCGAGTTGAACTCCATCTGGAGACCAGGCAATGCCTGTAACACTATAGCCATGCTCCCCTCAAACCGTGTACTGACCAGTAATCGGATCGCATACGTGGACGATGCCATCATACAATGTTGATGGAAGTTTATTTCCATCATGATTGCCGAAAAACTTGCCTTGTGTGCCGTGCTGGCATTGGAACATCGTGCACTGACCGGTAGTTGGATCCCACAACCGAATGGTTGTGTCCATTGACTCTGATACCACTTTGGTTCCATCTTGAACCTAGGTAATCGATTGCACAGGTCCATTGTGGCCCTTGTTGGTTGGCTGAATGCTGATTGTTGTGTCCCATATTTTGACAGTCGTATCATCAGACCCTGAGGCGAGGCGTCTTCCATCCAGAGACCAGGATAAAGAGCTAATACGGCCACTCCAGCGTCCAAGGATAACGGCGCACACTGTAGTACGTGCATCCCAGACCCTGATATAATTTGGGAACCAGTTGGAGACCAGGCTACCGCTTCAACCCAGCCGTCATAGCCGTGGAAGCATATAAAATTCTACATTTTGGTGCCTATACTCTGATGGAGGCATGCGTCAAGCTCGAGGCAAACCGACTACTATCCGGAGACCCTGCTATGGACCTAATCCATTCAGAACTCGGAAGGGTGGGGACGTACTCCATGATAATCACATCCCAGACCCTGGTGGCTCCCACCCTTTGAACCTGATGCCAGTTGAGACCCATCCAGAGACCAAGCCAACACCTGATATCCCCCGTGTGGCCGTCCAGTATTGGACCCAAGGTGGCGGTAGTTGGATCCGAAATCCAGATAGACTTATCTGCTACAAACGGCACTTCCCCTGCAATACACACACAATAAGGCAGCCAATAAATTCTAGAGCATCCTAGGTTCCAACATTCTAGGAAGCTTACACAATTTTTAGAGTCAAGGGCACACGTAGATCCCAATAGCTGGCCTTGAAATCATATCATTCGTAATGGCCAAGCATGTAAACTCCTCATCTAGCGCCGTACAAACTCATAGAAACATTTGTAGACACCAAGCAAGGCATTGAAAACCTGGCCGAAACAGTCCAGTAAGAAAAAAGAAGATATTGTATCTCCATCCAAAAGTATAAACGACTATAGGAACCAATCTATCCAAGCCAAGATCCCTCATACCGCACTGTAACCACCTCGCGAGCCCGATCCTTGCAGAGTATTAATCACCCGACGGAGCCAGTCCTGGAAGAGGTAGGGGATATCGCGGATGGTGTCGCCGTGGGGGAGGAGATCCCAGCCGCGGGCGCCGTATCGGTTGTAGTTGAGCCAGGAGCCGAAGATAAGGTAGGCAGCGATGCAGAGGAAGGCACTAGATAGATGGATTAGCAGGATGTCTCAGGCAGGAAACTAAGAGAAAAAGAACTCACATGATAATCAACCAGGTGAAGAAACCCCAGCTGTTGGAACTGGGAGTATCGCCCTTCTCCTTCTCGTACTCGTCACAGGCGTACTTTGTGCGCCAATCCAGTCTCAGGATGTAGGTATCATCATCGGACGGACCAAAGCTCTTGAACTGCAGACTACTGCTGCTGTTTCCCGCCGGCGCACCACCTTCCTCGCCCTCCGCTCTCCGTCGTCGCTCCTTCGCTTCCAAGTCTGCTTCAAGCGTGTGCAGGCCTTCCAGACCAGATCGCTCGTGGTCGCACTGGAATTCAATGATAGCGCCTGCCTTCTTGGGCTTCTGGTCATTTCCATCTCCCTTGTATGAGCCGCCTTCCAGCTTAACGCGCAGTCCCTCGGTATCGGGGTTGATATCCTTCAATCGCTTCAGTTCTGGGTTCTTGGAGCCTTGGCCAACGGGGTCGAGGCCAACGATCGGGAAACCGAACGTAGAGCCGCCATTTCCGTCCTTCGCTATTCGGTGGACGAATCCGCAAACTAGAAACAATACACCAATTAGCATGATTACCCCAAGCAGAAGACCCCTTCAACATGGTCGCGTCATCTTGGGCAGGAACGTACCGTTTTTGCTAGTCCCGCATGTCGCATCGCCGTACCGAGCAGAACCCCCAAGAATATTGCAGATATTCAATCGGTAAGTGGTATTTGTCACGAAGTCATCCGTCGTGACGCTGTGGGTCAGCTCATGGACGCCCTTTAGGGGACTGAGATCGTATTTGTAATTGTCAAGCTTGATGTGCGCGCAGTCGAAGCCAGACGCGGATGCCAGACTTGTTAGAAAGGTGGAGAGGAGTAGTGAAACTCCGCTTGATTGCATTCGCATTTTGATCAATGTGGTGCTGGCAGGGTCGCGAAGGGTTAGGCGGAAGGACAGATGAAAGCTGGGATGAGGCTTTCGCGTGGGATGGAGCTCGATAGCTCAGGCGGAGATGGTCACGGGGACAGATGTACACAGGACAAGTGTGACCAGTACGGATAAACCGAAATTGGAGAGATCTGGTTACTGGTTCGAAGGTCCCCAGTGAAGTTGAAAAGTGACGATGACGGGGTTCCTGCGGAGGTGTTTCGTTTCTCCGGTGGCGGTGTTTTGGCACTAAACGACTAAAAGGTGATGCCTATGTTGTACTCAACTCGGAAGAAGATGTCTTGAAGTTTTACCCCGTAGAGTATAGAACTATTTCTGGAGCTTAGATGACTTTTATGAAAATATTCTTTATATTCTTCAGAGAAATAAGACCTACTATGATGTCACTCCAAGTATCCGATGACCTACCCAACCCAATATATGTTTATAAAGATATATATAAAGGAAGACAGAAGAAAAATAGAAGAACTAATACATCCAAGCAAGAATGATAAATACTCTACATCCTGTATATATATCATATATAAATGCTGTACAAATATCAACAACTCATCTCATCGCCACGCACGGACCACCCACTCAAACCCGATATCAAACGCGCAAACCAACCAACCCGCAACGAGGACAAAACAAAAGCCCAAACACAAAAGAACAGACAAATCCCCCGTTCAAACCCAATCAAATTCCTCCCTCCAGACAGCCAAAATGGTGCAGCCGCGCATGGTAAGCCAACCCCCACCAAGCTCAAGCGCGACAAACCCCGCCAAAGCCGAGCTCTGAAGCTAACCTCACCAACGCGCAGCTCACAAAGGCGGATGAGACGTCCGCCAATGATGAGAATGAAGTCCGTCGCGAGGATCAAGAGAAGATTAACCGGTTCAGTCGGTTGCATCAGCGCGAGACTGTGCTCGAGGAGCAGTTGAAGGGGAAGCAGGTATGGAATTTTGATTTTTGAGGATCTTGTCTTCTGTTATATATCGGATATCTTGCTAACTGGTTTACAGAAGGATAAGGAGGACTTGGAAGAGGTTTCGATGGAATTGGAACTTGCTGATGAAGATGAGCTTGTGCCGTAAGGAATACCCTCTTCCTATCTCGTCGTTCTTTTTCCTTTCCTTTCTTTTATATATGTTCTGCGATTCTCGTCTTGGGGGATTGGGAACAAACCGAAAAAGAAATGAAAAGACATCATTGCTAACAACTCCCCTCAGTTACAAAATCGGCGACTCATTCTTCCAACTACCGCTATCAGACGCGCAGGGGATGCTCTCTGCATCAACGGAGAAGATCGACGCAGATGTCACCAAGCTGGAAGACTCTATCAGTGAGCTGCGTGAGGAAATGCAGCAGCTGAAGGTTGCGCTGTATGCGCGGTTTGGTCGGAGCATTAACCTGGAGACTTGATTGGGATGAATTGGATGTATTACCACTCTTACTTTTGGTCTCTTGGGACTTGTTTCTCATTTTTTTTTCTATTATCTAGTCTAAAAAAAGGGGAGGTTTGACAATTTTTCAATGGTTGTCTAGATTAAATACGTGGAATGGATGAACTTGATGATAGGTTAGATGCCACAGCATGTGCTTCATACACGCTCATGATCATGAGTACATGGAGGTATAAATATGTAGATGCAGCTGGAAATTATGAGTCAGATGAGGACCACAGCTCGTCAATATCATTCAAACAAAACACGACAGTCAGGAGGTATCTAAGAAGGCGGGAGAAAAAAAAAATAAGGAGAGAAGAAGAAAAAGATAAAAGCACAAACAGGGACCGCCAAGGAAACGAGTAGGTAAAACAAATGGTTCCACCAACCTGTGGCATATATTTAGGAACGGCACAGGGATTTCCCAAGAATCAACACAGATAACGCCTATTCGCCAGTGCAGTGATGCCCGATCAACCGGTTTGGGGTATTTGACAGTTCACCGATCCAAGACCAATGTGAGGGAAATTCAAATCAATAAAACTTATGTCACGGCCACACCTCTGTTCGCCGATGATGCCGTGGGCCTCGTCCAGGAGGGATATATATGCGACGTGCGTATGTGTGTATTTTCTTATGTGTTTCCTGTGTGTGAAAGTTGGTAGATCAACGGAACTTGGCACGGCAGCGGCCCATGATCTCGTTCTGGCAGACCAGTTCGGCGCTGAATTCACTGCCATCCAGCGTGAGGTAAATATCGAAGTAGACACGGTAGAAGATGCCCTGGGGTGTGTCCATGCGCTCGAAGTCGGTCTCGAGGTTCTTGCGTGATAGATCGGAGGTGAGTGTTACGACTTCCTTGATGCCTAGGGAAAGCATTAATAATTTGCACAAACCTTGGGAAATGTAATATCTCAACTTACGTGGATCCTTGGTGTACTCGGGGCAGACATCCTCGTCACAGGCATACAGCACATCCTCGTACATGAGGGTGGCGCCAGGTGCAACTTGACGGAAGAAGCTGACCTTGACTGGTTCACCAATCCTGACACGCTCTCCCTTTTGGACGAAAATCTGACGGGTGTACTTGCATCGATCGCGGCCATCCAAACTGGGTACACGGTACTGCTCCGGGTGATAGCCCTCCTTGAATGGCTGAAGCGTGGCCATAAGGTAGTGCCGACGTGCTACGCGGTGTGTGATGACCCGCTCGGTGATGCCTGCGGTGACTGCTCCCTTAACGATTGCGGCCACCGAATCCATCGGGCGTACCACCTTTGTCTGATACTGTGGAGGCACGTGGAGCTTGATCTGCTGGAAGAGGTATTCTGAAGCACCGAATCCACCGACAACCAGAACGTTCTACAAACTCGTTAGCTTTGGGCCGAAGACTAGATTGCGATGCTCTTACCTGGATCAGACGGTTCTGTGCTTGGATGGCGATAATCTGGTTGCGGACCAACTCGAGGATACGGTTCACGACAGGTTCAAAGCACTGAAGGATCTCCTCGTTCATGAATGTCATATAGCCCTCCTCAATACCAGCATCGGGGAAGTCAGCCTCGATACCCACGTCTACTGCCCATTTTTGTCCGTTGTTGCGGAAGTCAGCCTTAATACGGTTCTCAAAGTCCATGATACACTTCGCGTAGACCTTGCCCGCTGTCCGAGAGCCATCCGGCAGCTTCATCTTCCGGATCTTCGCGCGCAAGATGTTACTGAAGTTTCGATTCAGTGCTGTTGAGCCACACGAGTCACCAGACCCGGCAGTACATTCCATCACACTGAAAGGCTGCTCTTCCTCGACCTCATACGCGATCAAATCCACGGTACCACCACCGCAATCCACAATCAAAATGGCATCGCCCACCTTCAAGTTGAGCAGTCCACTTTTGGCACAGAACAAAGCCGCTGCCTCGGGCTCTGAGACTAGTGTGAGACGGTTATCGTTCTCGTCGCGCAAGAAGCCAGCTTGAATAGCAGCGGTCCGCGTCGCGGCCTTGCCGGCGTCGTTCCAAATAGCCGGCACCGTCAGATAGTATCGGATATTCCGTTCCTCGCGCGTGAACACCTCTCCCAGGGCCTTTTGCAGCTGAGCGCGAATGGCTTGCCGTAGCTTGAAGAGATAATCGGCAGCGACATCGATTTCGGACTTGCCCGGGGGAGGGGAGGCAAGTTGATGGGATCAATATAGGTGTTTCCGGAGAGCATCAGCTGGAGCTTGAACCACTCGACCTTCTGCACTTGGGGTTTGGGGTATCCGGTCGGGGCGAGAGCGTCGGCGATATCGGGGCCCCATCCTACTACCTTTTGGTATTGGTCGTAGTAGAGGACGGTGGGAATCTAGTAGAGGAGCCCGTTGTCAGACTCGCGTTCATGGAGGATGGAGGATACTTGTTGGTCGCGCTCACCTTTTGTTTTGCATGGGTTCCAGCCCCGGGCCATTCCGTGATGATGTCCTCGCTTGCCTGATTGTTGGTCGCAAATGCATATGCGACACCCGAGAAGGTTGTACCGAAGTCAATACCGACAATCAGTTGGGCCTTGCTCCGACCCCCACCCTCGACCTCGACCGCAGGGTTGCGCCCTGGATACTGAGTGTTGGACAGTGACGGTGGGATACTTGGAGCCATCGGCTGCTGCTGCATGCCATAACCCGGTGGGCCGTTCAAGGGAGCATTCGGGTTGTATTGGAGGTTTGTGGTGATGGGCGGGGGCTGTTGTTGACCATGAACCATTGGACTGGTTGGTCTGTTGTTTGTGTAACTTGGGGGTCGGCCTAACTGAGGCTGTGGCTGCTGATGATTCATTGGGAGACTTGTTGTTGATGAACTGTGACCGGATGGGGGTGGGGAACTAGGGGTGGGAGGGACAATCGGGGTGGAATTAGGAGGAGGTTTATGTTTGTTCCTAAAGCCAAATGACTTAAATCGGGAACTCATGAGATCCATGTGAGGCAACAAGAAAGGGAAGAGAGTAAGAAATGGGAAGGGGGGAGGGGAAGATGAAAGAGGGGGAAAGTGAGGCTGAGGGTTTACGGTAAATTGTGGAGATCAAAGAGACTTGAAAGAATGACAAACTGATTACATTTACGGAGTACCTAGTTTAAAATTAGTACGACTAGGTATACATATTATATAGGTAGGAAATTAGAAATTGACGATTATATTCGCGATACTCTTGAGGTCAAATTGATATTTAGATCTTATATTTAGATAGGCTTTGTTTATATGTTATAAGATACTAGGTATAGAGTACGAGTACGGAGTATATATGGATATAAATCTCCGAATTCCACAAATTCCTCAAATTCTTAGTTGGAACTTGTTACGGAGTACTTAATTCAATCTCACCGTTTCCCTTGGCGCCCAGCTCCCCGCGGGGTGCTACTTAGTAATAGTGAGGAGTATATCTTTGTGGAATACATGAACTACTATATATACTCTATACTCCTGGACGGGGAGGTTGTCAATACCCGTCGTGGGCGGAAATATTTTCGAGTCCCCATTTTTACTAATTCATTAGGCTGCTTCTTTGTCCTGAGTTTTGGCCCCCAACGGTGGAAAAAAAAATTTAGCAGCCTCCAAATTACAGGGGCTTGTCCGCTTTCCGACCAGCCCCCAATTTAAACCACTTTTCGCATCACCCAGTGGGATGGCTGATAAAGATTTTGAAGCATGCTGTTGGGATCCTGAATGTAGCCGCAAGGGTTCCGGTCTCCACGCTTTTCTAGGCGGAAGCCCATACGCTCCACAAGGCTCAGCACTTCATCCTCGGATAACTCCACATTGCCCGGCTCGCCAATCCCAGCCCCCTCGTATTCGGCATCACTACCTCTACGGGAGTGGCCGTCATCGAAATGCCATAGTAATGGACCCACGTTAATCCAGAGCCCATTTGGTTTGAGGCTGTGTCGGATCGTCTCGATGTATCGAATAAGGTTTGGAGCCGTATCAATGAAGAAAACAGTCGTGACCGCATCAAACGTCTCGTGGTTGTTCGGTTGGGTGTACAATACAGTGAAATCTGCTGCGGACATGGACATCGCACCCAAGCGGCGACCGGCACTGGCAGCCTCCTGCATCGCGAATCCGGGGTGTACGTCAGGGATCATAACTTGCTGGAGTTGTTGTGCTCGAGATTGGAGATTGGAGAAATGCAATGCAAAAGGATGAAGGGCGTGCTTTGCCGGCCCGTCGGTGTGGTTCAAAACCCAGCTACTGGCGAGCAGCTGGTGGTAGGAGATTTCGTTTCCCTCAGCGTCATAGCCTGCCATACAGATTTCGAACACTAAACGGCCCAGGCCAGCCCCAGGAACCAGAACACGGATTTCCTCTCCGTTATCACGCCGTGTCTTGAATTCCTCATTGAGATCCTGGAGCACGGGATCATAGCAGACTTCTCTCTCGGGTCGTCCTTCGGCACTCCAGTCACGATAGAACTGGCGTATCGTTGAGTGCGCTTTGTTGACATCTGATGAAGTGGCTATGTCATGCCAATTCTGAGTAGGATCGGTGCTGTCGGGGTTTGCAGAAAGACCAAATGACTGGAGACCCAGCGCTAGAATTGCATCGGCGATATCGGCATTGGTGTCAATGGCATCGTCCACCTTGTTGAAGTTATCAAGGATGGAGAATGGAGGCTCCGAGAGCATCTGCCAGTGTGCCGAGGGTAGGGCATAAAAAGCTTGTCGTCGACGATGAGTAGTATTCATATGCGCAGTTCGCCGATATTGCCTGTGGGTGGATTAGCAAAACCATTGCGATTGTATCAAGGCAATTGGTTGTTTCAATCTGATTCAGAAGCTACAATCTTGGAAGCCAAAAAGACATCTCTTGTAATAAACTGTCTACCCACGTACCTGAATGAGTCAAACGCAGCAAATAGTACCCTACGTTCTTCGGGATCAGCGAAAGGGTCGAAGTCCCCTCCCCAGCCGCTTTCCTCCTCCCCGGTCTGGGGCTTTTGATGCTCAGATGCCATGTGGAGGTTGTCAGACTAAATCCACGTCTAACGATGCTACTCAATGCTACAGGGTCACACACCCTAAGAGAGAACTGGTAGCGACAGAGAAGAAGAATAAACAATGGCGAAAAAGACAAGAAGACCAGAGAAAGTATATGGAGGGGCAGACGAAACAAGTGGGCAATCTTTCCTGAGGCAAACAATGACTCCTATTGGGTAAATCGGCTTTACCGCAGTACTCTCCGCCTTTCATTGGATTGTAAACACTATAGAATAGGTAGATATGTAGCCGTAACCTACCTATATATAGGACAATGTAGTAAATGGGAATTATAACTAAGATATGTGATCAACAGAGAATACTATCTGAGTAGTTATTATATCTCCATGATGAAAACTTACAAAGAGGTAGAGCCCTGGTGATTTTCTGCCGGCAATACTAGGTCGGGAGCCAATGGGAATTAAGTCACGCGTGGCTGTTGTGGCTCACCGTAACAGCTCCAGGGCGGGGATTGAATATTGAATGTTCCGACTTTCAACAACTAATCTGAATACCATTCTCGTGTACATTTCCTTTTTAACAACATACTTCTTACTTTACGCCGAGAACCGATAGAACAATAGATATGGCGACCGAAGCCCCACCAGCCGTTCCTTTGGCGGAGCTAGCTACTCCCAGTGTCAAGCCTCAAGAGATCTCCTTCACCTTGCCCAAAGCTTTGCATACAACAGCACATGTTCACTTGAACTTTCTAGGCCATTGTGCTATGGTATTTTTGGCTACCTCATCGCCAGGTGATTCGGGCGGCTCTATTAAACCAATGGGAAGCTTCGTCTATGCGATGCCTGATGTAAGTCCTACCTGCCGACTTTGGAATTTTTTTGCATATTTCAAGTAAACACAATATAATTTTCTTGTACCATACTATATGGATAAGGGATGGCATTGTTGTTTGGCTCAAATCTGGAATACCCCTTCCCTCTTCGGCTCAAAGTGTAGTATACCACGCGCACAACCCACTTCCAGTTCCAATTAGGCAGGAGACCTGTCGCGCCAAACGGATTTCCCGAATCTGATCATTTGAATTTCCTTGTTTTTTCAATAAAATGATTTGTGGCATGAGGCATAGCTAACATTTATGTAGCGCACTTCACCCAAGTCGACAATATCGACAACACTCTACACATCCCCCTCTAGCATTGAATACACAGCCCGCATAGCCAAAATTTTGGCTCGACGATTTTCCATCCCGGTCTATGTTGGTTGCAGTATTGACCCCCATGGCATGGGGTTGGAAGTTGCGGAGGAAATGGAAGGGCTGACCAAGATCGTCAACGTGATCATGGAGAAATGGGAAGAGCACAAGCAGGAGAAGGCTGAAAATACCAAATAAACTCTGTCAAACGAAATGTGCAGCTCTTGTTTCAATCGTCGACCGATTAAAAATCACATATACCTAATTGGAACCAGTAATGGTTCCCTTGATTTTGATCGGATTTTTCCTCCTTTTCTTTCTCACGCAGACACTGTTTGACTGCTGCCTGGAAGGTTGGTATCCGAATGAGAGTGGTATGACCTTCTACTCCGTAGAATGGCCGATAATGCGAGAGACAGCCTCCCTACCCACTTCACAAAGAAGAAACAAAGCAACCTTTTACGGCGAACACCGACTGCAATTCAGCGCTTACGATGTCTGCTACACGGACTCCGGCGCTCCTCGACGCCACAAACTGGAGCGACTTATGCACCAGGGACAGCTGAGACATGATCGTCGGAGCAACCAATTGCACTATGTACGACACACTATTTACGCAGCTAGCCAGTAGCTCAGGCTACGTCGCTACACTCGTTGAAGCAAAGGGCTAGTTCTTGAGCCGCCGTTTCAGCATTGTAGGAGGCAGGGATGAATACCTTAGATACATAAACTTCAATTCTACTTCTAGTGGATGTGCTTTGACTTCTTGCCCGGAACTGCAAGCATGTGAACGAGGCTTATACGAGGCTATTATCAATGACCTTGGTGCAGACTCCGACAGCCCACTAGTTGGCCCAGTACTGTTCCGCCGTCGGTTCGGCTCGAGAAAGCCGAATCTTTATCCGAAGATAAGCGTGTAGAAAAGCTTTTTATGGGCTGATAGCTGGAGTGATTCTCATAGCACAGCGTAGTCTAATCCACCGAACAAGGCGCCGGGATATGTACAATGTGAGCGTCAACTCTGGGCTGATCAGAGTTCATGCGATATTATTGCGAGCGGGTAGTTTCTCCATCGTGTTGATATCCTCGTTCGGGGATATACCACTTCCTGCATGTGGATGGTATGCTCCGACGGGCATAAGCAATCAAAGAAATCAGCTTGATTCGTCGAATCTAAGACATAATATAGCTAAGCTTTAATTGACGCATGTGAGACCTTGCATGCACATTGTTTCTAGGATACCACTCCTCCGTATGTACTCTGTACATATGTGTTTATGTTGTGCTTAGCGTAGACATCAGGGTTGCATCCTGTTATGGGCATGGATCCTTCAAACTCCACGCTAGACGCTAGCATATGAACACTTGCATAGCCTCATATTTGACTCTTTAACAAGCCCATGACTAAACCCACAATGAACGAAAAATCCTAAAATCAAATTCTTTCCTAGGATACAAATGAAAATAAGAAATAAAAATACAAGCATCCCACTTCCACCATCTACTCGGTAAACAACCCGAACCGTCTCAGTTTTTTAACGTAAAGAGTCCAATTGATCTGAAACACAGCCGGGGACTAGCACACGGAAGACATCGGGAGTCTCGGGTTGACAACCGGTGACAGTTATCTAGCAGAGCAAATCGGAATG